ATTATTATTGAGACTGGATGATTACACTCTGTGTATTGCACTGATTATCTTTCGATGTCGATATTAAAAATCAGCTGATGTATCAGGTGACGCATTGCAGTCGATTTCGTATGCCGATTCTAATCGACGTCAAATGATAATTAAGCGAATTTATTCCTTTTTTTAACCAGCTCAGCCGATACAGCTTATCGGGGGGCGACAATTGCGTCAGCTTTTTACACTTCCCGATTACAATTTTGTAATACCACCGTGCGGAGGAAAATGGTATAATCGTTCATGGAATTAATGGAAGTGTTAATAATAAAATTGGAGCAAAAGTTTTGTTTCAGCAAAACCTGTTTTGTTCCACTGGTAAAATCCTCGAAATTCTGGTAATATCCTTAAACCATCTTAAAATGATGAGCTCCAAGCGAATCAAGCGATGAAGTTTGAACGTTGAAATCGGTTTAACGCATTTGTATGTTGACGATTTCCAGGTAATGTATGAAATAAAAAAACAAATATATTATTCAAATAACGCGTGACTCTGTCGATAATATAACATTCTAGAGTAAATATGCGAGGACATTAATACTCAGATAAACCGAAGTTATATAATTCCACTTAAAAATATCAACTTGATCGTTTAAGCAACAAAAACACAATTGACACCACATAATGTGCCTCTTTGTACCAAGCAACTTCTGTGGGGACAACAATTCTTTAACTTCAATCCCTGTATTTTTACTGTGTTGTTAGATAATTAAGTGTGATACTCAACTGTACTTAGCTTCTATTTGTCAATCAGAAATTAAATTATTAAAGCAAAATTTCAATTTTCGTCGATTTCAATTGCTGGCACTCGCCACATCACAGTTTCACAATTTCCAAATACAGCATATCGTTAAATCTCCCTCGTATAAGATATTTCAATATCATCTGTGTCATTTTTAGCCATAATCATTCGGTCACTTGATTTCTTAAATCAGAGCTGGCTAACTGGCGGCCCGAGGACCCCTTGCCCCCACTTTCCTGATCATTATCCCCTCCACTGCACCGATCCCCCCCACCATATTGAAACTTCCTCGCGTGAGCCCCCACTCTCTCAATCAAGTTGATCTCCTTACAATTAATGAAGAAGTGAAAAGACAGATGCAGTGGAGGAGATAGTGACAACAATCTGAAAAGTAAAAACACTCTGTAGTTTTTCCTTGATACATCCTTGAACACATCCATACTTTATGTAGCTTTTCATCATTTTTATACCGCTATTACAAATGTCATCCCATTTGTTGAGACATTCATCTATAAAATAACTTGCTACATTTTTAAATTACCGTTCAAGTAGAAATTGCTGAAAAAATAATTTCCCAGAGAAGTTGTACAAATTGATCGAATTCATGTTTTCTTGTCTCTTTTAGAAAAGCTAGAATTCAAAGAGCATGAAATCTCAGTGAGAAACATTAGCGTGGAAAAATAGAAAGTGTATAATACAATGAGTTTACGCAAAGCTTTTGTTTGCACATTCTTTTGAAAAATCGTTTAAATTATCCAGAGGTACGCTCCCACGTTTGTAAAATTTCCAACAGGAATCATCAATTGGTCATTTTAATCGCTTTGGTAATTGCAGTGTTAATGCATGCGACTGGAAGAAAAAACGTAATTCATATTACGAACTTTAAATGATTATATTTGGGAAATGAATGCACGCGGCGTTTTGTTTTCGGCGTGTACACAGATATAAGTGTATTTACAGATACACGAGTGTGTACTTATTCGCCGTACTGTGAATCCTATCTCAAATGCTATAGCTAATCATCTCGGTGAAGTCAAATCACGTGTACAACACACGGATCACAGATAACGAACAGAGTGAAAAGGATGAACGTTGTAATTACTTATGCTTCTGTTCAAGCAGCACGCGTCATCTCAACTGAATTTTCTAACTATAATAACATGCAGAAGTTATTAATATGTAACGATGAATATTATGTTTAGAAAATAAGTTCTTATAATAAAAGCAGGTATGTTCTCT